ACGCACGCACACTCACTCACTCACCCTGGCTTGGCAAGTACTGATGCGAAGATCTCTCAGCAGGCCTATAAACTAGCACCATCCTTGACAGTGTACTGTAGAAACACTATACAGCGAAGACATTGCATACTTTGTTTCAAGGTGAAAGACGATGATGTTGTTGATGGTGATGATGACAACGAAAATGAGATAACTTGTGGTACCATGTGTGCCAGACCACTGGAATTTGCACACAAAACAAAATGAGATGATCTGTGAGGGTGTGGGTCATGCGCCGTACCAGACACTAGGAATGGCACAGCATGAATTGAAATGAAGATGAACACGAAAAGGGGTGTATCCCCCGGGGTCTTCATTGACCAGGACCCCCTCCCCACCCCTCCTGGTCCTCTAGAACTGTTTTCAGCAAAGAGTAGATCAGTCGCCACGTCCAGGCGTTTACACACACACACACTGACACACTGACTGACCGACGCACGAACGCACACACGCATGCACGCACACAGGCACGGATGCACGCAGGCACGAACCCACATAGGGAGAGAGCGAGAGAGAGGGAGAGGAGAGAGAGAGAGAGAGAGACTCTCACGTGTAGCAAGTATGTGGAAACTCCCCGCAGAGCCCCCAGTTTGCGGACAATTGATGCACCTGGCGGCCACAACGCTGCGTGAGGGATGTACCGCTGTCGGCAGCCAAGCGCTGCACCCTTAATCCGTGAATTTTGTGATCATGATCAAGAGATTCGAGCACGGATTCACAGAGATGCTGCGTAATCCGTTTCCTGGGACGGTCATATTCCGGATATCGATTGCCTCACACACATCTGCGACGCGGCCAGCCAAGGGGCGAAAGTAGGACAAGTAGACCCGTCCGGCGGCAAACTGAGAGCCTGACACCTCCAAGCCCGAGAAGTGGGACAGCAGTGTCTCAACGCGAAGGTGGTCGGCCTGCGCAGCGAAGCTGTTTCAGTTTCTTGGCCTTCAATTCCGCTTGCTTTCCCCGCCCCATCTCTAAGTGCCGCAACACCTCAAGCATCCTGCTCGCTGAGGTGCCCTTCAACCCAGAGACTCGCAGACCTGCGCCGGGTTCTGATCGGAGAGTTTGTCCGGATGCCTGGCCGACACACAAGAGGATATCGGTAAAGAGCACACGATATAAGTTTCTTCACAGTTTGGATGTTTTTGACAAGGGTTTTCGACACGTCGAACGAGTTGAGGCTCTCAGCTTCGCGCAGGCGACCAAGAGCCTTGCTCAAAAGTAAATCAATCCGTCGCAGGTCTCCTCATGAGCCAGGGTAGACCGAGACGGCAAGCCCTGGATGCGTGATAGAAGGTTCTGAAACTAGCTCCAAATGCTGCGGAGTCGCCTGTAGCTGGCATCCAGTGGATCCCGGTAGGGCTCTCCGAGCCTGGGTGGGGCTGAGACAAGCCCGTCTGGGCCTGACGGATCGATGAAGGAGTTGCTTTGTCTAACCAGGAAAACTTTTCAGAAAGCTGCCTCCACCGGACTTCAGAAGGCAGGCGCCAACCCTGACCCGCAGCTATGGCCCCCATGCCATCCCGGCCAAGATGCTTGCGAAGCGCGAGCCCGGCCTTAATCTCCGCATCCGCCCGAGCCAAGTCTTTGAAGGGAAAGAGCCATCCTTTCCTGGCTTGTCGTCTGTCGGGGCATTTGTTGCAATTCAGCCAGGGCGCAAAGGTTCAGGATTTTTGGGTCCAGGGTGTTCAGATCAAAGTAGATAAAAAACTTCGGAACTGAGCACGAGCTTCGGTTCTCGGATTTCACCATGCTTCGGGCGGTGTCTACAGGTTACAAGTTGGGGGACTTGTGCCAGAGAAAATGCTACATGGATTTCTCCCTAGAGAAGCGGCCCCGGTCCACGAAACCCTTTTTTTTACACAGGCTTGATTGGAGCTCGCCCGATCCCCCGAAACCCCAAACCCCAAACCAATCTAAACAAAAGCCCCAGTCCCAAACCTGAAACCCTTTTTGGGTGACGGTCGAGGACTTAAACCCTAAACCCTAAACCGTACGATGCTACCCCGAGATCGCAGCGGTACGTGATTGGGACCCCGAGATCGCGGTAACGACCAAGCCAAGGCACAGCGCGAAGCTTGTCAGCCTAAGTGGTGGAAGAATTCGTTCGGCAAACTGATTTTGGCTGCCGCATGGCCTGTAAACGGATTAAAAACGCCACACTCTAGACCCCGCTTCCAACAATTCGCGGAAACTGTCCCTTTACAGGACCCAGCTCTCGCGTCTGCTGACACACTGTATAACTGTAACGGATGATGCTGTCGTGCAGCAGGTTCAGCGAGAAGTACCCCCAGATATGTGCCGGATACCTTTATGGAATTTGATATTAGCAATACTAATATTACAGTCCAACACCACACCCAGATTTGTATATATGATCCCGGTTCGGCCGGCCCCCCCCCCTCCCCCCTCCCCGCTTGCATGGACCTCACCGCTGCCAGTTGGCGTGTCGCCTGCTGTTGCGGATTGGGGGTGTCCGCCCCACCCCTGCCCCCACCGCCTATGGTACTCAACCCCTGCGCCGTGCAGAAAGCAGCAATCTGCGCATCAGACATGAGTTACAATGCTTAATTATGAGGGTTGTATGGCGATGGTGATGGTGGCAGCCGTTCTTTTGGTGCAGATGATGAAGATGACGACGACAAGGATGATGTTCAACATGA